CTCGGGGAATGAGACGAATCTAGAACCGCAGCCGGGATTATACGCCTGCGTCTCATCGCCTTTTACATTTCCTTCATATGTCTTTTATAGTTGCTCAACTATTGGGTTCCTGTTCCATGCACTGTAAAAAAGTATTTCTTGTTTTTCAGGACAAATATCTAAACATTCTTAAATCATGTTTAGATATCAAATTTTGACATGTCATAATTATGACTTAATATGTCAGAATTTCAACTTTTTATGTCATAGGCTAATTATGATTTACAAAAGCATGAATTTCTTGTCATAACTAGGCCTTTATTATTGATGCAACCAAAAATATTTGTCCAAAAATTAATTTCCCGTTTCAGCTCAAACAGTTTTGAAGGCCAACTCCATTAGCAAATATTTGAGAAAACTCACTTAATTTGATTAAGACTTAAGTCATAGGCTAATTATGATTTACAAAAGCATGAATTTCTTGTCTGTTTTGTTCAAAACAGTTGAAAAAGCATGAATTTCTTGTCATAACTAGGTTTTTATTGATGCACCGAAATTTTGGCAAGCAAAAATATTTGTCCAAAAATGAAACCGTTTTTAAGGCCAACTCCATTAGCAGATATTTGATCAAACTCACTTAATTCGATTAAGACTTAAAATCTTGATTCAAGAATGCACTGGGAAAAAAATACTGAGTATGAAATTATGAAGTCTGAAAACAATCGAAAGTTCTATAGAGAATATAAATAAACTGTTCTTGACACTCTAATATCGAATAAATCTATTAATTCAAAAGTTGCCCAGGAATCTGTATGAATGACATTGGGTCTTGACATTAACACGTTGATAAACGGGCTTAAACCTGTGTGAAGAGGGTCAAAGGTCACGTCTGTTTATGTCTTTGGGCACTGTGTGCGTATGTGGTGAAACGAGGAGAGAAATAAAGTCAGGCCAGTTTTGCTCTTTTTAAATGTTCAGGTTCTTCAGGCTATAAATGATAAATGACAGTAAACACACGTTCAGACTCATAGATCTGAATCAAATGTACATGTTCAAATGGCACTCTGCAAATAAAAACAAAGTTTTGTAACTTGAGTGATTGTTTCACATTTCATAATCTGATAATAAAACTCATTTCAGAGGAGAACTATGATGTTAATGCAGCTTTACTCGTATACATACAGTAGTACACTCAAATAGAGTAATACTATTAGGTAACAGTTTACAATAAGGTCCCATTAGTTAATGCATTAACTAGCAATGCATTTGTTACAGTGTTTTTTAATCTTTAATCAATAGAAAAGTACCTGTAGTCTACATATGGGCATTTTAAAGTGTAATATATTCTAATAACAATTCATTTTTGAAATCTGACTACATCAGATTACACACACTGACTGAAAAAAAAAAAAAAGATTAATAACACTTATAAGTTATCTGGTTGATGGTTTATATCGTCCTCAAATATAAAAAATCCTGTCATCCATCTCTAAACTGAGGAGTGTGACGTTACAATATTATAAACATTATCATTATGACTTTGTCAAGCTGATTCAGAACAATGTGTGATGTGAAAAGATTAACAAATAAAATTTGACCTGTTTTATTGCAATGCATGGAAGCTTTTAAAAATGATTAGTCTCAAATACACTGCCATTGTTAACTTAAACATTTCCATTTTAATTTGTGTTGAAAGAACATACATCATTAACACTTTACTTAAAGCCTTTATGTATAATGTATTATTAAGATATTCATAATGTTCGTTGCAATGCATTATATATATTTTCAAGTTAAATGTAGTATAATATTTCCGAAATTGGTAGTTTGTTTTATTATACTTTCTAAAGGTGTAACAATGAATAGATAAGTATTATAACTGTGGTTACAATTATTCATGAGACCATACAATGCATTATAAGGTGCATAATTATTAATGCATTAAATTACTTATATAATGCATTATATATGAAGGCTTTTGTGTGTTACCGGAACGCAGTCAAACGATCACATCATTATCATCATTGTGTTTGTGGCAGAGATAAAATGTCAAAATAAAGAACATAAAACCACGTCAAATTCAGCAAAACTGAACTTATTATAGTTAATGAAGCCGAGGAGTCGCAACACACAATGAAGAACGTCGTCTGAGAACGTGTAAGTTTAATGGACAAAAAAAAAAAAAAAAAGGCATCAGGATCAAAAGAAAGGTTGAATGTGTTGTACATGTGGGAACAGAAAACACGAGGAAGTCCATACGCTGTGAACTGAAAGGCTTTCATAGAGAGACTCAGCTTTAGTCCTGGAGTTCATGCGCTCGTCATCATTTGGCCATCTTGCCCTCGGCGGGCATCTCTCCGTTATCGAGGGTCTTGAGGAGGCGAAACAGGCCCGCGGCCTCACGGATACGACTGAACTCGATGCAGAACGCCTGGACCTCGATGAACAGATCCTGAACATTGATGATCTTATTCCTGATGAGGGACTGGAGGAAGACACACACCAGACGCACCAGACGGTTCTTCAGGAGAGGAGAGATCATGAGAGAGAATGAGCACAACAATAACAGCACTGGAGCTCTTTAAAGGGATAGTTCACCCAAAATGTACAATTAGCCCATGATTTACTCGCCCTCAAGTCATCCTAGGTGTATATGACATTGTTCTTTCAGACGAATACAATCGAAGTTACATAAAAAAATGTCCTGGCTCTTCCAAGCTTTATAATGGCAGTGAATGGCTGTTTCTGTTTTGAAGTCCATTAAAGTGCATCTATCCATCATAAAAGTGCATCTATCCATCATAAAAGTGCATCTATCCATCATAAAAGTGCATCTATCCATCATAAAAGTGCATCTATCCATCATAAAAGAGCATCTATCCATCATAAAAGTGCATCTATCCATCATAAAAGTGCATCTATCCATCATAAAAGTGCATCTATCCATCATAAAAGTGCATCTATCCATCATAAAAGTGCATCTATCCATCATAAAAAAAGTGCATCTATCCATCATAAAAGTGCATCTATCCATCATAAAAGTGCATCTATCCATCATAAAAGTGCATCTATCATCATAAAAGAGCATCTATCCATCATAAAAGTGCATCTATCCATCATAAAAGAGCATCTATCCATCATAAAAGTGCATCTATCTATCATAAAAGTGCATCTATCCATCATAAAAGTGCATCTATCCATCATAGAAGTGCATCTATCTATCATAGAAGTGCATCTATCCATCATAGAAGTACATCTATCCATCATAAAAGTGCATCTATCCATCATAGAAGTGCATCTATCTATCATAGAAGTGCATCTATCCATCATAAAAGTGCATCTATCCATCATAAAAGTGCATCTATCTATCATTAAAGTGCATCTATCCATCATAAAAGTGCATCTATCCATCATAGAAGTGCATCTATCCATCATAAAAGTGCATCTATCCATCATAAAAGTGCATCTATCCATCATAGAAGTGCATCTATCCATCATAAAAGTGCATCTATCCATCATAAAAGTGCATCTATCCATCATAAAAGTGCATCTATCCATCATAAAAGTGCATCTATCCATCATAAAAGTGCATCTATCCATCATAGAAGTGCATCTATCCATCATAGAAGTGCATCTATCCATCATAAAAGTGCATGTATCCATCATAAAAGTGCATGTATCCATCATAAAAGTGCATGTATCCATCATAAAAGTGCATCTATCCATCATAAAAGTGCATGTATCCATCATAAAAGTGCATGTATCCATCATAAAAGTGCATCTATCCATCATAAAAGTGCATCTATCCATCATAAAAGTGCATCTATCCATCATAAAAGTGCATCTATCCATCATAAAAGTGCATCTATCCATCATAGAAGTGCATCTATCCATCATAGAAGTGCATCTATCCATCATAGAAGTGCATCTATCCATCATAGAAGTGCATGTATCCATCATAAGTGCATGTATCCATCATAAAAGTGCATCTATCCATCATAAAAGTGCATCTATCCATCATAGAAGTGCATCTATCCATCATAAAAGTGCATCTATCCATCATAGAAGTGCATCTATCCATCATAAAAGTGCATCTATCCATCATAAAAGTGCATCTATCCATCATAAAAGTGCATCTATCCATCATAGAAGTGCATCTATCCATCATAGAAGTGCATGTATCCATCATAAAAGTGCATGTATCCATCATAAAAGTGCATCTATCCATCATAAAAGTGCATGTATCCATCATAAAAGTGCATGTATCCATCATAAAAGTGCATCTATCCATCATAAAAGTGCATCTATCCATCATAAAAGTGCATGTATCCATCATAAAAGTGCATCTATCCATCATAAAAGTGCATCTATCCATCATAAAAGTCCATCTATCCATCATAAAAGTGCATCTATCCATCATAAAAGTGCATCTATCCATCATAGAAGTGCATCTATCCATCATAGAAGTGCATCTATCCATCATAGAAGTGCATCTATCCATCATAGAAGTGCATCTGTCCATCATAAAAGTGCATGTGTCCATCATAAAAGTGCATCTATCCATCATAAAAGTGCATCTATCCATCATAAAAGTGCATCTATCCATCATAGAAGTGCATCTATCCATCATAAAAGTGCATCTATCCATCATAAAAGTGCATCTATCCATCATAAAAGTGCATCTATCCATCATAAAAGTGCATCTATCCATCATAAAAGTGCATCTATCCATCATAAAAGTGCATCTATCCATCATAAAAGTGCATCTATCCATCATAAAAGTGCATCTATCCATCATAAAAGTGCATCTATCCATCATAGAAGTGCATCTATCCATCATAGAAGTGCATCTATCCATCATAGAAGTGCATCTATCCATCATAAAAGTGCATGTATCCATCATAAAAGTGCATGTATCCATCATAAAAGTGCATCTATCCATCATAAAAGTGCATCTATCCATCATAAAAGTGCATGTATCCATCATAAAAGTGCATCTATCCATCATAGAAGTGCATCTATCCATCATAAAAGTGCATCTATCCATCATAGAAGTGCATCTATCCATCATAAAAGTGCCATCATAGAATGGCACTTTTGCACTTTTGCATCTATCCATCATAGAAGTGCATCTATCCATCATAAAAGTGCATCTATCCATCATAGAAGTGCATCTATCCATCATAAAAGTGCATCTATCCATCATAAAAGTGCATCTATCCATCATAGAAGTGCATCTATCCATCATAAAAGTGCATCTATCCATCATAAAAGTGCATCTATCCATCATAAAAGTGCATCTATCCATCATAAAAGTGCATCTATCCATTATAAAAGTGCATCTATCCATCATAAAAGTGCATCTATCCATCATAAAAGTGCATCTATCCATCATAAAAGTGCATCTATCCATTATAAAAGTGCATCTATCCATCATAAAAGTGCATCTATCCATCATAAAAGTGCATCTATCCATCATAAAAGTGCATCTATCTATCATAAAAGTAGGGCTGTAGTCAACCAAAGAAATCCTTAGTCGACCAAAGTCTTGTCCTGCGCAACGATTAGTCGACTAAAAAAAAAAAAAATAAGACGCGATGTTTTGATTGAACATTTTTAACAATTGTCAAAGAGCATTTATAAAACAACGACGAAAAAACATCACAAATACATAAAACTATAATAATAATACAATTCTTTGAAAATTAAGTGATTTTAAGTGAACTGCAAAAAGTGAGGAGCACTGTCCTAGGTCTATAGTAACAGTCACAATCGCGCACCTGACCACACCACACGCTACAAAAAATATAACTGCTCTGCCACAATGAAAAATCCTAACAAAAGCTCTCGTTTATACAGGCTGTATTCTTCTTTACTTTCAAAGCTATGGGTTAACTTTTGTCCAGCCGATCTAGGCGTTTTAAAATAAACACACAAAAAAAACCAAAGAGCCTAAAAAACAATCCTAATAATAATAGTCTGTAGTAGGACCGCATATAGGTTTATTTTCGTTTTGTTACATTATTTAGGCTATTTTGAAATGCGTCAAGTGTACAAATAAAAACAAAAACATATCAAGAATCTATTGAGTCAGCATGATAAAGCCGTTAAAGGGACTGCTCACGTCTTTTGCGCGCTCAAATTCGATTTCAAATGTAGGCGCGTGCTCATGATGGAAGCGACGCGCACTTTTTTTTCCAAGTGCGTCCACGCCGCATCGAGATAAAAACATATAGTAGGCCTAGTGTATAAAAACCGAAACAAGTAGCGTTCTAACTGAATGAATACAGCTAAACTATATCTCTTACTGAGCACGAAGCAGCAGCGCAGCCAGCCACAGGTGCGAATCGAGTGTTCTATGTGTGTGCGCTAAACTGTGGCGCTGTTACAAAATAGTAGTGCTGCCACTAACGACTAATTTTCTAACGACTAATCTTTCAAATAATTTTTCGATTAGTCGACTAATCTAAACGACTAATTAAAAAAAAAACATTGTTTGTCATTTCGTTGTGTCCATTTTATTTTGAACTGAAGGGCCAAAATATAAAATGTCACCTGTTGAAAAACATTATGTATTAACAATCTAAGCATAAATATCTGCATTTCCATTAGGCTATACCAGTCAGAGTCCTAATCTAATCCTCTATTAACAAACATGCATGTATTCATTACTTAAATTAGCTCTTTGTTCTGCCTTAAATTAATACATTAGCTTACTGTACATATGTACATTTCTGAAATGCATAACTGAAAACATCACTGTGAATTGTAGGCTAAAGTAGATGCACTCATGCATTTTAGGTAAAGCTGCTTTGAAACAATATGTATTGTGAAAATAAGCGCTATACAAATAAATTGGAATTGAATTGAAAGAGTCTGGACTAGCCTACTACGCTTATGTAGCAGGATGCAGTTGTCTGGCTCATACCTCCCTAAGTGATGCTTAATTTGCTGCAGCTGTGAGTGGTCCTGGGCAGTTAACTTTGAGCCAATCGTGAGGGCTACACCCCTTTTATAAACCGGGACTTTTATTTTGACAAATGGTGTCACCGGTACGCGACTTGTCTTGTTTACCTGCCCAGCGACCTGATGTCTGCCTGGTTATCGGTCTACCGTAGCGCTGCAAGTATGGTTGGCTTCGTTTCTCTTTTCTCTCGTTAACTTTATAGCTTGGGCTTATGGGGAATGTTTTGTGCTATAGAATCCCCGGTGCGACAGCAGCCCTTTCACCAGCTGAGTGTGTGCCCTGCAATCAGAGCTAAGGGCCTGTGAAAATCATAGGTATGTTGCTATACGGAGTAAAAGTTGAATGGTTAATGTGGGAACTATTTGTAAATTGACATCCTGTGCATTCTAGGGAGAGCTATTTAACCGGGGGTGCGGCCGCAAGTTGGCTACATCGACTCTGAACATCTGCTGCTTTGCTTAAACCTATTTCCTGATGTGTTGCCTACGGGCTTTCTTCGTCGTTTTCGGCTGCTCCGTCCCACGAGATCGATGAGTGGGACCCGGGGCTAGTCC